TATTACATCACATCCTTGAGTATCATTACCATGTTGCCTTTTGTTGCTGCTGTGCTCGAGTCATCGGTCATTCTCCGCCCTTGATTCTTCTACCATTCCGTTCTTTGACCTTTTAGCAGTATCGGCTTGCAGTGCTTTGTCGATAAGCGCGTTGATCTCCTTGACCTTCTCAAGAGCAACCGACGACTTTGACACAAATACTAAGGCATCCACAGGGGAGCCGGAAAACTTGGAAACGAAACACACATCTCCGGCATTATTCATGCCAAAGACAACGTCCGCTTCCGAGGCTTGCTCTTCTTTCCGAGTTGCATCGAGGATGACCCGTTTGCCTTCATCAAAGGTGTGAAATGTAACCGAAAGAGGTTTGTGGGTAATGTTCAAGGGAACCGGGACCCGCTCGTCTAGCCCGTAGACAATCACCTGTCCATCCTTGACAACCGCATCCGGACGACGGAAATGCTGCAGTCCGGCCATCACTCCAATACATGCGGCGTCAATGAGGTTGCCATCGTAGTCGGTGACGTGGACGTCGGCGCGGATGCTCCAGCAACTGACTCCCTTGAGGATGCACAGTGACTCGGTGTCTAAAGCGTTCGAGTGGCGCACAAGTCTGTCAAGGACGTGCGCGACGTAGGCCTCAAGATCTCCTTGTCTAGAGAGTATGGATGTTAGCTGAATGCGCCGCGCAACACATGATACTCAGCCATACCGTCCATTGTCCCAAGCTGGTGAGCCCATTGCCGTAAGCTCTAGCGCAATTGTGAAGATGCCATCGAAGGGACGGTCATCGCGAGGTTTCGTTACTTCCGAGGATATGCGCACGATGAGACTTAGAAAGGTCAGTCTATTTCAGATATGACCGCTGAATCGGGTGAACAGAACCCACCTCGTCTTGCCCAGCTGTACTTTCACATGCCCGTACTCCTCCCCGAATGTTACGTTCAGAGGACGAAGCTGGTCTACGTGGCGACCATCCAGTCTCACATCCTCGCGTAGAGCATTGAGGATGAAGTCGCGCTCAGCAATTGAGAGCGCTGCTTCTTTGTTCATTGTTGCGGAGGCGGACTTGGCCCCGACGGGGTCAATCAAGAGGGACTTTTTGGGAAATTTCTGGATTCTGCAGCGTCATTGAAAGCAGCGGATCATCAATCTTCCAGATAAGCCAATCATATCAGTAGTAAGCCAAAAGCGGTCAGAGTGGCTGATTCAGCTTGTGGCCTGAGGCCGCAACCTCGACATTATCATCCTCCGACAAGCCTCTCAATCATTGAGCAGAAATCATACAACAGGCCATCCGTGACAGTCCATCATGACTACAGGTAGGGTGAAGCTGAATCTGATGTTGCAGAAATAATGCGCTGACTTGATCATAGCTCACAGACCCACCTTCGATCCCGTAGGTGCTCATTCTCACTATCCCCATCCTTGAAGCGGAGCTCACCATGGTTATAGGCGCAAGGGAAAGAGGCTCTTCGTGGACCAGCTTATCATCAGCGACTTTTACCCGCATATACTCACCTCAAGACTCGGTAGGTCAACGCGTTCTGCAGCTGAGGACATTCTATCTGACTATTCCAAGTCAATTAGGGCAAGGAGGTGAAAGCGAAGTCCGACAACGCGACCTACGAGCGGAGCTACTCCAGGCAGAGGCGGCTCACTTTGCCAAGAAGAACGGAGTCCCAATCAATGAACCGGTCCTTGAAAGCGCGGCGCCGAAACGTCTACTAGAAGGGGCCGCTCCGGATGGTGCAGGTGAAGCAGAAGAGGAGGACCCAGAAGCAAAACGACGGCGGATATTAGAGGAAACTCGAGACATAGATGCGGACTCTGAAGGATCAGAGGATGACAGCAGTGAGGAAGAGAGGTAAATATCCCACTTCCGGTAGCCTTGCGATGGAACATGCTCACAACGGTATAGTGATGACGAAGACGAAGCCGCGGAATTGATGCGGGAACTGGAAAAGATCAAGAGGGAGAGACTAGAACAGAAAGAGAAAGAGGTTAGTTCTATTCCTTTGTGAGCTCTTCTACCAGACCCTCACCGATTTCTAGGAACGCGAACGTGCTGCAAAGGAAGAGGAACAAAGAGAGTACGACATTGCCAAGGGCAACCCGCTGCTCAACCCCCAGGACTTTAATCTCAAGCGGAGATGGGACGACGACGTTGTCTTCAAGAATCAAGCTCGCGGGACCGAAGAGAAACAGGGCAAGGAGTTTGTCAACGTAAGACTTGTCAGTACGGGATCTGGAATGGCGCTAACCATATGATAGGATTTGTTGCGCTCCGATTTTCACAGAAGATTTATGGTGAGTCAACTGTTCAAAAGGATATGACGAATGCTGCTAATGTACCACTAGTCCAAGTACGTCCGGTAGACTGGCACTCTTCATATTGATACTCGACAAACTTGGCGCCTGTTTTCACGTTAGTACCTGGAGCCACGTACAAGCTCATCTCGATTAGAACGAAGTCAGCAGGTTGGATGACTGGCTTGATGGCGCTGCTGCACCATAAGGCTTCGCTAGTATGCCCCTACTGAAGCCATTCGGAATTGTCTAGTTCCCCTAGGCGTCCCTGGCGAATGGCTCTCAGGGGTGTCATAATCCTTGGTTTGGCTTGTTTTGAAGTCAGGGGTGGGAACGCTTGCAATCCGTTTGGTGCTCAATCATGATATTATAACCTGGGCCGTTTCGAGCTCCCGAGCCTATGCGATACGCCAAATTTATGGTGGATTTTCTGTGTACGTAACTCGGCTACGCGATGAGCCTATATCAGTGCTGCTAGCTTTGTGCAAATAATTACATGACTACGCTGTAATGTGGCTGATCAGTCAGTTGTCGTTGAAAAAGGCATATGTACTCGTAGCATCACAGGACATCTAACATCGATCGATCCAAACTGAGCAAACATAACTGATATGGCAGAATACTGCCGCCTTCAACGTCAGCGTGAGGGACAATATCTCAGTGTCTCTTCAGATGAACTCCAGACCTCAATGCCATCAAATCCTAATTGAGACGCAATAATGGACTCTCAACCTTCATCTAAAGCACTACATAGTGAGTTTAGAGCCCAATTTCGACCTATCGCTTGGCCTCTCGAATCTCAATACCCAAACTAACCGCATCACGTGCAGATCGCATCAATGCCAACATCTCACAATTACTGCAGCGGTTCGAGAATATAATGGCTACAGCTACCGTTCGTGTCTCTGACATGACAGAAGCTATAGTCCATCGGCTGACCTCCGTCGCAGGTTGAAAATACAAGTCACACAGCAACAGCGGTGGAAACCTATCAGCTTGACGTGGAGTCAACCGCGCTGGTATGTGTTGGAGCACAAGCCGCTCCTTTCTGGTGGATACGAAGTGTTATGTGCTGATACATGATTATATGACAGGTCCGCGCAGCAGAGGATATTCTTTCCCTAACCCGCACAATGAAGGAGGCCTGGCTGTTTGGGAAACTTGACACTCTCGGGGAAGACGAAGCAGATGTGAAACGGAGAGAGCAACTGGAGAGCGATGCTGAGGCTATTCAAAAGGCTATTGCGGAGGGTAGGCTGTTGAAGCCAGCGAAGTGATTACTTTTCGGACAAGATTTGCTCTGCATAAGGATTGGCGTATGGTGTTTGGTTCAAGTTTTGTCCAGGCTGTTTCATAGAGCTCTGTAGTATATAGATACCCATTGAATCATCAGCAATAAAAACATGCTAAAATACTCCGTACCTCTCTACTTTACTAAATGTAGTGTCTGGACCATGCTCTTCATAGTGGGGTAATGGCAATCAAATTCACGATAAACTCTTATCAACCCATATCAGCTCTCAATCCCCATCTCCCCGTCTCCAATTATTCTTCCATCTACTACCACAATCCTATGCTATAGCAACCAAAATGCCCCCCTCACAACCCCTCACCCTCATCGTCGCCACGACCCCAATCCGCACGAGCGAAAACCTCCCCGCCCGCCTCGGCATAGGCCTACACGGCACCCTCCCCTGGCCGCGCATAAAAGCAGACATGGCCTTCTTCGCGCGCGCGACATCGCGCCCCCCTCGCCCCGGAACCACCAACGCAATCATCATGGGCCGCAAGACCTACGACTCCCTGCCTCAGAACCTCCGCCCGCTCGCGAAGCGCATCAACGTCGTCGTCACGAGAGATACAACCGGTTCTGTACGGGAACGAATAATGAGGGAGTTGGAGGCGAAGAGGGCGAAAGCTGCTGCTACTGCTGCTGCTGCTGCTGAGCAGGCGCAAGCTCAGGCCCAGAAGCAAGTGCAGGCGGAGGCGCGGACAGACGCTCTCGTGGGTACCGGGCTGGAGGACGCGCTGGCGAGTCTGGAGGGCGGCTACGGGGCGGAGGGGAGACTGGGGAATGTATTTATGATTGGTGGGGCGGAGATATACGCTGCTGCGTTGCGGATAAGCGAGACAAGACCGGTACGGATCGTGATGACGAATGTGGAGAGGGCTGATGGAACGGAGTTTGAGTGTGATACGTTCTTTCCTGTGGATGAGGAGCTTTCGGCTGGGGGAAAATGGAGGATGGCGAGCGAGGAAGAGGTGTCCGGGTGGGTGGGCGAGGAGGTCTCGTCGAAATGGAGGGAGGAAGGGGATGTGCGGATTCAGATGCTGGGTTATGAACGGATATTGTAGTGACTACGGTAATCTCATATACATATGTCAATATTGATCTCCGTATACACTGTATGACATGCCGTCATGATGTATATCCGCTGAAACGACCCAACCAAAAGCCAACGCTAATCTACATGAAGCTTGCGCAAATGCAAAGCAGAGTTCCTCGCCTCAAACCCAAAGTTCATATACAGGACTTGTCAAAAGGAAAATAATATAAAACAAGGAACGTGTATGTAGGGCAAGAATTATGGGACAAAATGTGAAACTAAACGCCGGAAATGCCAAAAGGACGGGATTTGATACTTGGCAGTATGCTTCAACCCTATCCATGTGGGTAGGGGATGTCTCGCTCACTCGGTATCCTTGACATATTTGACGAATGCCTTCTTGTGGACAAGGCCTGCGTACTGTCCATCGCGGAGAACGCACAGATAACGCAGTCCCAACTTGGCGAAACATTGGTAGACAAGATCGATGGGCGAATGGATATCCAGAGAGATTGGAGCCTGAATAGGACTGTCAGTCTAAAACCAGTAAAGAAAAGACGAGGCTACATACCGGATCAATGTATCGGCGGAAGTCTACCCAGGTATTACCGTTGCCATCTTCGCTGTCAACGACAGCTGAAGCCGTGTCCATTGACATGAGGCACATGGTGTGTTCCTCATCCTCAATAGTGTCAAGGGCGTACTCAAGGTCTGGAGCCGGTATAATACCGCACAAAATATCATGGCGCAGAATAGGGAGGCCGCTGTCCAGCTCACCTGCCATAAGCAGGTGCTGCAGCTTGGAGCGCAGCTCGGTTGCCGGCACAAAAGGCGATTCTGAAATATCAATCACGCGACTCTTCCGAACAGGTCGTACAATGTCCCCAAGTTCGTCCTCCGAGAGAAGCTGAATCTTGTTGTCGAGGAATGGATAGGAATTCATATCAGTGAGCAGGTCCTATCAAAGTTAGCTCGCCCTGGAATAGCAGTCATATTCGACGCTAGACTTACATAAATACTACGAGGCTCCATGGCGTCTGCAGTCCATTTGGCGCAAAGAATTGCCAGGGAAAACGGCAGGACATGGTCCAGGCTGCCCGTCAACTCAAACAGAATGACCGCCAGAGTGACAGACAAGCGCGTTACGCCGCACATGGTCGCCCCGGCGGCCACCATTGCATACACTCCCGGAACAACGCAGGACTCCATGCCCGAGTACACCGGACAGGTCGAGAATAAAAAGAAGTTTGGAAACTTTACAACCAAGAATTGCACCACATGGCCAACAATACGGCCCATGAGACCGCCGACAACCATGGACGGCACATAGATTCCGGCGGGCAGCTTGATGCCGAATGTCACCACCGTCAAAAGACTCTTGATCACGAAGGCTACCAGCAGATCGTTGATAATCTCGCCGATCCCGTCTTCGGTGGGACACAACCCAGTTGATGTCACGGACTCGTGATCACATGGACTTGCCAACTCGAAAAGGAGTTCGGAGACAGGCAGCTTCGCGTACCGGTTCCAGAAACTGACCACCCCGGTCACCAGTGCAACAAGGATAACTTCCAGCATTGGCCAGCGTTTAATGATGGAAAGTCTGCGAAATGATTTCGCCCACAGACTCGAGGCCTTGATGAAGAGAGCGCCAGCGGCTCCTCCCAGAACACCAAGCAGTGCGAAAATGACGACTTCAAATATCTCCCAATCGGTGACATAACGGACCTGAAAAAGGACAATCTTGCCAGTGCCGTAGGGGTTGAGGAATTTCAAAGAAAGGGCTGCCGCAATACAGCAGAAGAACGTTCTGAATAAAGTCTTTGGCGGGAAATAATAACTGACTTCTTCCAAACTGAACAAAACTCCACCAATTGGGGCCCCGAAAGCGACGGCGACACCACTTGCAGCGCTGGCGCTGAGCACCTCACGCCTCTTGCCGTCGTTATCATTATACTTGGAGAACAACCGACATGCGATGTTTCCGACACACGCGCCAATATGCACATACGGACCTTCCTTCCCAAGACTCAGGCCGGACGAGACACTGAAGACTAGCGCAATAGTCTTGATGACCAAAGTCTTGAACCCCAGGTACCCGTGAAGGACGAAACCGCTGTTGATGACTTTCACCTCGGCCACTCCGCTGCCCGCTGCGGAATAGTAAGTCATGGCGGGGCGCGTGGAGATCGTTGGATAATGCGTCTCCGGGCTAGTTAATGATGCTGGAGAGGCGTCCTCGGAGGCGTCACGCTTCGTTCCTTGCGAAGTCCCGGCACCGAGGTTCTCATCAAGCGTCGTGAGGGAGACCGAGGATGGCACGACCGTCTTGGTGAACAGCGTCAGGTAGCATGAGATAACTGAAAGGATAACCACCCAGAGCACAAACATGGCATGGTCGACCCATCCATTGCCGGAACCAGACGGACTGAGAATCTGCGACCATGACCGCCATCCAGAGCAGTCCAGGGTGTCTGCACAGCAGCTTTCATGGTTATGGAACCATTTTGTTGTGCAAAACCCTTCCTTCAGATCGAAAACGAAATCCTCGGTCACATCCACAAAATAGGCGATGGCAGCCGTGATGCAGCCGATCAACGCAACCAGAATCCAACCCTGAGAACCATCAAACGCCGCGAGCAGTCGACCGCGAAAATCCTTGCGCTTGCGCAGTTCCCGCAGACGCGCCCCATCAGCAATACTGTCATGCACCCAGTCAGTCGAGGTGAACTGGTCGTACCAGTTACGCTCGTCAAGAAATGAAGCGGTCATTCCATCCTTGGCCGATGGTGGAACGCTTTCACCTCGATCGTCGTCAATACTTCCTCTTCGGCTAAATCGCAGGGACTGCGAATTTGCACGGCTGTGATGCCGAGACCGACGTAGGCTACCACTCGTCAAGGAGTGTCTGAGATAATTATCAGGGGCTGGAATAGCGGAGATGCTGGTGTACGATCTTCGTGGTGTGCCCCGACGATTTTCGCGAGTATTCCCTAACAAACTTGTGGTTTCACCGGCTTCCATATGGGATTCCAGCGACTGGTACCCGGTATGAGTTTCGGAGAGAAGGGAATGTGTACGCCTGAAGGCCGATGGAGACGGTGGAGCGGTGCGGGAAGCAATGTTTAGATATTCGCTTGCGGCAAGACTCAAGTCATCACTTTGAGGCAAGGGCGATATATTCGGAGGAACGGAACGAGGCATATTGGGGATCTTTGAAGCTACACTCGCTTCGAACTAGACACGACGAACTGAGCACCTTGTTAGACTATACCCATTACTCAGACACAACAAAACAAACACCAAAGGAGGACTCGTCTTGAGGAAACGGGATCTGCTCATATCTCTGACTTACTGACAAACATATCCCTCTCTATATCCAACACAGGCCCTCCACAGATACAAGAGGAACTTTAAATGTCCTGGAGTGGAATAACCTGTCCCGCTTGTCTTGATAGTACGGCACGGGAGCGGTCAAGCGGCGAAGTTATCCCGAATCAACCGACTATCAACAAAAGATTCAACAATGAAAGAAGTCTCAAAGAAAAAGAAAATGGTATAGAGAGGTAAATGAAGATGAAAAGAGATGAAACAAAAAGTGAACGATAGCTTTGAGACGGAACTTCCACCGGAAAGGCCCTGCCTTGGCCGATGAAAGTAACAGTAGATGCTCGTTACTGCAATTATCTAGGCGTTTCTCCAATCGTCGCTAGCGGGCTTGGAAACAATCGTGGCACGGGCAGGTGACCTCCGCATCCAACGGACAGCATCACCTGGAGTGATCATCAATGGGGCATGACGAGTCATCCAGTTGGCTCATGGGGATCATCAATTCATCATCTCTTTGCTTCTTCATAAAGTCTTAGAACGAAATGGATGTCTGATCTGTTGACTGTGTGGATAAGATGCTACAGCTGGGCTTACGATCAGCACCGGCCCGAAGGAGCAGCCTGCATGTGCATAGACTAGTAGCTTCGCTTGCCAAGCTTACAGGGAGAGACCCCGCGTAGAACCTGAGCAGTAGCAGAGGTAGTGAGGATTAACAATCATACAAGATGCCCCCAATAAATGACTTCATAAGGGTTTAGGCGCATAGCTCTCAAGCATAGACGGGAACACCTTGTAGAGACATTCCGGTTTCACTCAAGGTGCAGGCTCGATCAGGGGGGGTGCTAACAATAATAGACCTAAGGAACCCTGTCTAGTACGTCGATCGCATATCTATGTGCCACTGACGTGGACTGGGAAACCTGAACCAGACAAATGTAGAGTCACTGCCTTTCTTACCTTGTGTTATATGTCAAGTAAACACCACAGTGAACAGGTTACTGTAGCAGTACTTATACTATTCGGTCTGGTGCAAAATTAAACACTCTTTCAAGAAGCAAGCACTCTAAATCCACTATATACTTGCCTTGTCATGATAAATAAATTATCAGATCCGCGAGCACACAATAATGAGATAAAATGAGCACTTATGCGGGCGGCAGCAGCGGCAGCGGCAGCACTGCTATTATTAGTGGAAAGCTTCATGTATGTCCTGCATTATATATCCCGCGGCATGAGGGAATGCCCTTACTTTACAGGACTATCGAGCGAACATGTCCTCCTACTGGCCCAGGAAGATAGCTATAATATTGATTTACTGCACATGCCCCTCTCATTGCGGTCTCAGGCCTTGCACTTTTAATATGAACCGTGTAGAATAAGTCATCACGTAGACAGCTATGCCGGCACTGGCGAAGATATCCCGGATTCAAGTATGAAGACTACACCACGATGATTGACCATCTTGCAGGTATCTAATGCTGAAATCATGATTTCATCACTGTCAATAACTCTGTACGGAGCACTCTGTAGTAGTAAATCTGGCGACTTGTGACTGTCCGTAAGGCTTCAAGGCAGAGAATACGATCCTCCCCACACCCCACAATAATAATTCCAGACCTCTTACTCCGTAGAAACTCCCAACTCAGGCATTTAGTCCTCGAATTCATTGTCTGAGTTCCACCTTTCCGATGCTGGAGCTCGAAATTGTACAATACTTACTTCAACTTCAGGTACCAGTCATTGAGCCATGGACTCAGCGGACATTTCCGTGGACGAAAACATTCGGACCAAGGAGCGTAGTAGTGCGTACGTCACTTCCTTGGCTACAGGATCCTTGGCAAAGGCTCGAACATTCGGCGCAAATGACTTGAAACAGAAAGCCGAGTCGGAGTTACAAGCGTCGTGGCAACTGAGGTAAAGCTTAGCAATGCTTCGTGACTGCCACTTGGCGGTGCGGTGAAGCTTTTCAAACTCTTTCTCTGTCAATAATCAATAGTCAGGCCGGAGTCAAGATGAAATAGGACTTTATCAGTGGCCATGACATACCCCAGATCAAAAATTCTACCCCAGATTCCAAGTGGGTCACTGATCTCGCTAGCGGGTCTGACAAACTGGTATCTCCGAGTCTTGAAGAGTCGGAATCACAGAGACATAAGTGCTCGAACTTCGAACACAGTCTATGTAGATAGCTCGTCGGTGTCTCTGTGGGGATTACCAACAAAGGAAAACTCCTGAGCTCAAGTCCCACATAAAACAGTCTGGCCTCTGATTGAGCTTGTCGCTTTGCCCAACAGAGTCGACTTGAGACGATAATTGGCTATTTGCCACCAGCTCGATAGAAACCAGTTGCTCCCCGAGCTCGCTTCCCCCATGATATCTGTGGGGACGAGTCCCCACAAACCTCTCCACGAATGTCCCTAGTCTGCTATGCTGTGGTGAGATGATGGGTCGCCTCTGGATGTCGATAGTCCATAGTCCAGACAGAGAGCCAGATTTGCTCAAACCCCGGATTTCAAAGCAATGAATGGTCCCCACGACTCACTGCACGCTTATCATCTCGTCTGGATAGTCAAGTAGCGTACCCCATCCTACTCTGGGGCCACTATAAACACATGATCTTCCTCCGTCCGGGGTAGACTAGTCTTGACCCATCTTACTATATCTCCCCTTGCCCCAAACATCACTCTTTCAAGTTCTCGCTCTCTAAGACAGAGATACCATGCCCTCCATCGAAATGGCGGAGGAGGTTCAGCCGCCTTCAGCCCCAGACACCAAGGATGTTCTTCACTCAGAGAAGACGGACAGCGAGTGTCTCGAGAAAGCTGATGACATCCATGCCACAGAGGCAGAGATTGTCGCCGCCAGTCTCTCGGTATCTCACAAAGAATACTTGATTCAACGCCATGGAACTCTTGACCTGGATCCTCTTCCGAGTCCATCGAATGCCGATCCGTACAACTGGCCTCTTTGGAAGGTACACATGCGTTTGCCCCTATCTTTCCTTCTCTCTCTCAATGACTGACCTGTGCCTCCTTTCCACAGAAAGTACTCAACCTAGTCCTTGTGGCATTTCACGCTTGCATGGCAACCCTGACAGCGGCATCCATTACACCAGCGTACGAAGACATTGCCATTGAATTCGGAAAATCCGTGCAGAGCGCCAGTTATCTCACGTCTCTTCAGATTGCAATTCTGGGCGGAGCTCCTTTGTTCTGGAAGCCATTGTCCAACCGGTTTGGCCGTCGTCCCATCTTTCTCTTGTCTCTGATTATCAGCTTGGTTTGTAATATCGGCTGCGCCAAGAGCCCTACATATGGATCCATGGCTGCGTGCAGAGCCTTGGTAGCCTTTTTCATCTCACCTGCTGCAGCGATTGGAAGTGCTGTTGTGACGGAAACGTTCTTCAAGAAGGAGAGAGCCAAGTACATGGGCGTCTGGACCCTGATGGTCACTCTGGGTGTCCCTGTCGGTGCGTTTATCATTTTGAAGGTAGTTTCGACCTCGCTAATACGCCTACAGGACCGCTTATTTTTGGGTTCGTCGCCTATCGTGTAGGATATCGCTGGATCTACTGGGTCCTCGCGATCGTCAATGGCGTTCAGTTCATCCTCTATCTGTTCTTCGGTCCCGAAACCCGCTATCTGGGCGGTAGTGAGGAAAGTCTGTCTGCAGACTTCAAAAGTCAATACTTATCCTTCCGCCGGATCGATCCTACTCCTTTGAGATTCAGCGAGTTCTACCACCCTCTGACCCTGGTGAAACATGGCCGCGTGTTTATCCCCGCAATCGTGTATTCCATGGTCTTCTTGTTCGGTAGCGTTCTCATTACGGTGGAAGTCCCTCAGCTTTTGCAACTGAAGTTTGGCCTCAATGCCGAGCAACTGGGGCTTCAATTCATTGGTGTGATCATTGGTTCGATTCTCGGAGAACAAGTTGGTGGCTCTCTGTCAGATTTTTGGATGAACCACCGGGCTCGGCGTATTCAGAGGCGACCCGAACCCGAGTATCGTCTCTGGCTCACCTACCCCGGCGTCATTCTGACAATCGTCGGTGTGATCGTCTTCCTTGTCTGCACGCAGCAGGCACCCGAAGGCCGCTGGGTCGTCTCTCCTATCATTGGCACCGCCATTGCGGCTTTTGGCAATCAGCTGGTGACCACGACGGCTATTACTTATGCTGTTGACAACTATCCTCAGGACTCCGGAAGTGTTGGAGTGTTTATCACGTTCGTTCGGCAGATGTGGGGCTTCATCGGTCCATTCTGGTAAGATTAGTGTCTCCATGCTGGCTGAACATGAGGTCATAACTCTCGGGGCGATGGCTAATTTGTGGATAGGTTCCCCGACATGTTCACTAATGTTGGTGTCGCTGCTAGTTCTGCGGTCACCAGTTCTCTACTCTTTGTCTTTAGCTTCCTTTTCACCATTCTGCTCCATGTGATGGGAAAGAAATGGCGCAATGCTTCCTAAGCATGCTTCCGTTCATCTATAGCTGTTGCATTGACGAATTGATATCAGTCGAAGACAACGGAAGTCTGAGCAGTGATGTACATATTTTTAGTAGTCTGGCATCTAATCCGCAAGTTATGCCTGGATCATGCTCTGATGCATATAATGGACTTGGGTGTAATCGAGGAAATAATACCCTCTGGGATGAATATACTAAAGGGACATACCAGTTAAATAGCAAAATTCGCTTTGCAAATTTGCATAATCTATTCCAAACAGTCTGTGAGTCTTCGAAGCAAAATCTAATATATAAGAGGATTGTAGAACAAGTAGAGAATATTTATAAAATTACGCAGACATCTGTTCATCTGAAGCATCAACATCACGGAAATGTATACAAGAATGGAGCAACGCTGTTGGTGGATAATCCCTGGCCGACAAACACCTTTTTGCCGAGACCAATAAGCATCGACCTTTAAATCCACGAAAGGCACGACAGTTTGACCCCCAAACTGCCTCCGAAGCTCCGTATCCAATAGAGCGTAGTCCTCCAGCTAAGCTACGGTTCAATCAATTTAGCCAGACTTGCCGATAAGCGGCCGAGATCCATCGAAATTCAACCCCACCGCTGGCCATAAGAGGTGCCTCGTCCTCGTGAGAAGCAACTGTCGCAAACGAGAAACTGTGTGCTACTTATTGGTTTTCTATTGACGGATTTGAATCTGATCTGATTGTCTGCGTGTCTGCTTGTCTGCATCATGTCTAACGGAGTCGCCCTATCGGCCGAGGAGGCCTTGTATAAGCCATACGACCAGTTCATCCTATTTGGAGACTCGATTACGCAAATGTCTTCTGATCAGTGCATGGGATTTGGTTTTCATGCCGCTCTGCAGGATGGTAAGGTTTTCATTCCCCAGTCTTTTTTCTCATGCTACTTGAGTGATTGTCCATACTAATTCTTTACAGCCTACTGCCGCCGCTTGGATGTGATCAATCGGGGGTTCGGGTATGCGTTTGACAAGTTGCAGCTCGCATACATGAGTGTACTGACTCCTGCATAGTGGCTATAGCACCGCGCATGCGGTCAAGGTCTTTCCCAAGTTCTTCCCCAAACCGGAGACGGCTACTGTTCGGTTTATGGTAGGGCGCCCTACTCGCTGAAGTCGTAGGCGCGGTTCTGATTGTTGTAGACAATATTCTTCGGAGCAAATGATGCAAGCGTCCCTGGACACTACCAGCACGTCCCCGTGGAGACTTACAAAGAGAACCTGAAGAACATCATCCAGCACCCGGCGACAGTTGCTCAGAACCCAAGGATACTGATCCTGACCCTGCCACCGGTGAATGAATACCAACTGGAAGAATTCGATATCGCAAAGGGTACACCTCATCCCAGCAGGACAGTCAAGCAGACCAAGCTGTATTCCGAGGCCGCCCGCGAGGTCGCCGCCTCGTTAGGGGTTGCGGTGGTAGATCTCTGGACTGCGTTCATGACTGCGGCAGGTTGGAAAGAGGGAGAACCGCTGATCGGGTCCAGAGACGCCCCTAACAATGAGAAGCTCCAGAGTTTCTTCACGGATGGTGCGATCCCAGATTTCCTTCATATGGGGGCTCGTGCTGATCTTGATATGCTACAGGATTGCATTTGACCGGCGACGGGTATCGACTCATGTATGAGGAAGTAATGAAGACTATCAGAGCCAAGTGGCCGGATCAAGCCCCAGAGGCACTCGAGATGGTCTTTCCCGGGTGGATGGAAGCTCCCAAATGATGTTGCAATGAGCTCCTGGAATCGATCCGGTAGTCACCTTACGCAAAAGCTGGCACAATCAGTAGAAAGGCCCATTATTATACAAACATTTCATAGCGATTGATCACAGATAATTGATGAGTTTGATCAAATGCCAGAAGCACTGGCATGGACTGTGTACGTTGTAGGAGAATAAAAGCGGTCTAGATCGTTGCTGGTTTACGTGATGGACGGTGGACTTGTGATCCCCTCACTGCCCACGTCCCGTTGCTTCGTTCCTCCGTCATCATCAGTCTTCTATCATTACACGCCTCGTGCTCTAATACGCATATCTCTTTCGAGATAAAATCTGTATATCATCATTCGAGATTCTCGGAGTCCTCTATAGCTTCCTTTCTTGCGAATCCAAGCGCTCGCTGCAAACACACGCGATTCTCTCCAACGCCCAACTACCCTGTTCTGCCTGCGAGAACTCCAATTCAACCGTAGATCCGACTCGTGAAAAATCGACAACTCGCTCTAACCGTCTTACAATAGAATCAAAGACCTTTCGAGACTTACTTTGCGAATTGCTCAACTTTTGACCGTGCCGTTGCCTACACAGTATCCCTTCCGCTGTCTCGTTTCTGTCGGATTCCACGCCGCCCACTTGACCACGTTACGATCCGCCTATACCGTACAGAGCCCTTGACCAAACCGTATGTTCTGACAAGTGGTACACGAAAATCAGATACTAGCAACTAGGTGGACGGCCTTACGGCCGTCTCACAGCATACAAGGGAGGAGGAGTCCGAGGATTAAGCGAGCTGCCAGTTAACACTACCTGGACACAAGATCGGCAACCGAGCAGTATTGCAGACAATATACGAAGCATCGGTGTGGGCAAGCGAGCTTGTGATTGTAGGATTCGGTCTTTTCTTCTCTGCTTGAACCGTCTGTCGACTTTCGCCACTCGTCGAAGCCCTCTTCATTCCGGTCTCCATCCGTGTGGACATGGACGCTCAGTATCCTTTTGCTTCGCGCGACGACATTTGGCGCGTCTTTGAGGAGTTGAAGGAACTTCACGCTGCGCAATTTGAGCAGGCGGAGCGGATTGCACGACTGGAAAGACGGAGGGATGAGGATGCGAGGCTGAAAAGTGTTTGGGGTCCTTTGTCACCGTTTCCTACTTCTATCGGGGGTACCATATCAACAGGTGTGTTTGTCGCCTTCTATGCTCAGGATTCCACAGCAGATATTAATTCTTTTACTTCAAGAGCCAGTCTTTCACGCCCCCGCTGACGCCTTCAAAGGGTTCGATCAGGGCCAGCACCACGGAATGGCGAATACAATGGGTCTCGAGAGCGAAGACGAACCGAGGAGAGGAACATCCAGAGCGAATAGTGTCCGGTTCGATGAAAGTGCTATTCATGGTTATTATGGACAAGCCAGCCGATCTACCAGCGAGCTGCCGCTGAGGACAGGGAGCGGCATGGGAAGCCATCCACTCACCGAACGCTCACTGTCCCACCGGTCTGATGGCCGACAGAGCTCTTCCGGGCATTCGCATCACTCGGCTCGGACGAATAGTCTAGGGCTGGAGACGACGAGCCGCATAATGGGCTCGTCCGTCGGTGGCTCTCCTCTGATACCCCCGCCGGGTCTATTCCTCCTTGGCCCTGTGCCGTGTGTCATTCGATGTTGGTTGACGACCAATTTTTCAAACGACTCGCTTCTGTATGCTGCTGCCTGTTCAGGATCGTATGCCTCGACGCTTGGGTATCCGATGGTGCAGAAGCTCGGCTTGGGAGATCTTGTAACCCTGGAGGATGGCGTACGGTTCATAAAGCTTCCGATGTATCTCCCGGAGGCCAGCGTTCACCAGGCCTCGTCTCGTCCCAACAGCCCGGTTCCTCAGCTTCCCACCCTCACCATCCGCTTTCTTGTTCGGGATGTGGAATCCAACGACCATTCCATTCAGATTATCCTCGGGAGTGATGTGCTCCGCTCGCATAATGCGGACATTTTGTTCTCTCAGGACAAGATCATCATGGTAGATGACGAAAGGAACAAGATTTCCATTCCCCTCGTGCGGCCAGAGGATGACTCCGTGTTCAAGTCTCTCTACACTGCATCAGATTGCTCGCGCCGTGAACGCTCAACAAGGCAGGCTTTTGAAAAGGGGCCGACAGATGTGAGCGGCGATTCCGGAGTCGGGGTCATCGGAGAGCCGAGTCGATCGCGACGATCTACCTCTGCGTCTACCACCGCAAGAGCATCCACCGAAGAACCTGATGAAAGCCGAAAGACACATTCATCGGGTTCTCACGACGGGTCCCCGGTGACTGAAGCTCAGGAAGACCCAGGCAAGTCCTCCTCGACGATCGACTTTCAGGCCAATGAAGGCGCCAAGCCTGAAACTGCAGGTGTCTGGAGTGCATGGAGACGGGATACCAAAATGGACCCGGCATCGTCCAGCACGAGCAAGCCATCTCGGGGCCGTACGATGAAAGTTCTACGGCCGACCAAGTCTTCTACACGAGTGCCAACAGCGTCAAGCGGTGCCGGTACTGACGCGGGGGCATCTCCTCAGCCAACGTCCTCCCGAGCGTCCCCAGACGAAAGCCGGACCGGCAAACAGTTGGCTCCGAATCCCATCGGCGGGGCTTCTGCGTTTGGCTGGCTTAATTCATCTCAGCCCCCTAAACGCGTTGTAACAATGCCTAAATGAACTATATCAGGAATGGACGAAGGGAACTGGCGTTTTGGAGAATGAATGGAAAGTCCCGTATGTAGACAAAATGAGTCAGTCAACCATACTAGCAATCAATTATATATCTTTAAGCACATGCAGATGTCCATCCATCCACATATCCAGACACGATAGGGAAAGAAAAGAAGAGATCAAATCTTGGAAAACACCTCCATCGCCTCCCTCGTCTCCTCCTTCATCTCCCTCACCAACCCACTAACAGCCTTGAACTCCGCCCTGCCCGCATCCCCCAGAATCTCAAACAAAATCCCCTCACTACTCGTCACAATCGCCCCGGCATCCCGCAGCCGCGCAAGCGCCACCCCCCTCTCCTCCTTATTCATACTACTCACCCCATCAACAATCACATACACCCGATGCCCGCGCTCCAGCAGATCCAGCGTCGTCTGCGTAATGCAGATATGCGTCTCTATCCCCACGATGATCACATCAAACGGCATCTCCCCACCATTTACGTCCGGCAGCAGCGCATCGAGTTCCGGCGTGATCATCGAGAAAAGCGTCTTGTCGATGTTGGCGCGCACAAGCGGCGTGGAGAGGTAGGGGTGGAGTTCGGAGACGATGTCGCCTAGTCGCGGGCGGTTCTGCGTTGTGACATAGACGGGGATGTTGAGTGCCGAGGAGGCTTTGAGGAGTTTGGTGGTTGTTGTTATGCTGTTCGTGTCAGTTATTTTGGGGCGTTTGAGGGGGTGTAGGCTAGGCGTACAGTTTCGGGAACTCGTAGATGGCGCGGAATTTCTCTTGGAGGTCGCAGATGCTGTTTGTGCTGTTAGGGGGGTATTCTGCATTGTTGGGGGATGGGGGCCCTACAATAAGGCTGGATTGCCTGTGTACAATACCATACCCTGTGGTTAGCATTTCAGAAAGTCAGTAGGGACGAGAGGCGTACGGATCCGGCAGGCTCGTGAGATGGCTGCCATTGTGCTTTGCTTAGTGTGTTTTCCGAGTTTCTTTGAGGCTATGTATGGTTGAAAAATGTGTGAGGTCGGATGGTGAAATCATGAAATAAGAAAAAAGTAGAGGCCGATGTTTGTTGCTGCGGAGGAAGATGGCGGGGGAATCCAGACCAGTGCGGGGAAGCTTTTCGCCTGATTTCCAACGGAAGAGTTCTACTGTAGGTTAGTTATCTCCGAATCAGTACTCGCAATTATGCGTCAGCTACAACTTTTAGTTAACGGGTATACATCGTCTATATACACTATGATTTTGCTAGAGTTTGATCTCTTGGATCTTTGCCCTTCCGGAGAACCAGCTGTTGTCACCCTTTAGAGCTGCTTGCCGGATGGCGTAGAGCTCGTCCAGGAAAGCCGGGACGAAGCTTCCCGGTCCCCGGACATAGTCCTTTGACGCGGCGTTCTCCGCCGCAATTTCATACATGAGGAGACCTGACAGAACGGCCACGAGCTTGTCGGAGGGGTGTACAGCCAGGAAGCAGCCGGATACCGTTCCCACGGCACAGCCAGTCTGTACGACGCATTAGCAAGAGATTGAAGAAACGAGAGAGTATTGGACGTACGCCGGTGACTTGTCCAAGGAATTCATGGCCATTCTCGACAGCGATCACACGCTCGCCGTCGCTTAGGTAGTCGACGGCGCCGGTCAAAAGGACGACGTTTCCTGCCAGGGTTAGCAAGTAGATCTCGCTTGGAAGAACGGTGCAGCGTACGCTCTCTTCTGGCTAGGTCGCGGGCCAATCTAGCCTTTTCTTGTCCATCAAGCGTGCTTGGTCCACTGTCCACGCCGCGCTGGACTGCATTACTGCTTCCCGACACCTGTCTAATCTCGCCCTCGTTTCCTTTGATAAGATCAAAGTAGCCCCCTCTCATAAGCTCCTTTACAGCCCCGCGCCGGACCTGGGTCGCAGCAGCGCCGACGGGGTCGTAGACCACAGGATTCCCGCGCTCGTTGTATGATTTGATCGCTTGGAGGTAGTTTGGTACACTTTCGCGCGACAAGGTACCCATGTTGATGACAAGAGCGCCGTCGAATTTGGCCAGGTCGACCGCTTCTTCGCCGTATGGGGACATGATTGGAGAAGCGCCCCTAGAAGTCAATTAGATAAATCAACAGTGATTCAAATACAGACGTACATCGCGAGAGCAACATTGGCAACAAAATTGGCCACAACGTAGTTAATCATGTTATGGACCAAAGGGTGTGCCTTGACCATCTTCTGAACGATTTGAGGCACCTCTTCGATCAATGCTGCAACTTCGTTCGTTCGAGGTGCCTTGGGTTCCCATGCGAAGCTGGGTGGGCTGTTGATACGTTTGACAAACTCCTCGGCCGCAGCGCGCGGGTCATCAGCTGCCATGATGGCACTGACGATAGCGACGCCGTCCAGTCCCTTCCTGGGCGCTTTGGACTGGTACATCACACGCTGGATGTTCGAGAGGTTGATGCCGCCGATAGCGACGGTCCCGACATTTCGACCCGAGTCGGAAATAGCGTCAAGAATCGCCTGAGTACCTGCTGTTCCGAGGATGTGTTTTGTATTTGTTTTACTGGCAAGTCAGATTAGATCGTGGTTGCCAAGGTCATCCATGGATCATTCCGTCCAAATGGCAACTTACGTCGGCGTTGCGAACATGGTTCCGATACCCAGGTAATCGGCACCCGCCTCGATGGCTCGCTGGGCCTCTTCGACGGACGACGCACTGATTCCGATGATAGCATCTTTAGGAAGCAGATTTTTCGCCTCCTCAACGTCTGTACCGAGCGCATCAGTAAGGATCAGTAGCGGTCACCTGAGGCCATGGGTCGTACACATATCGTCTTGCCCAAGATGGACGCCTTCTGCTCCAACAGCGAGGGCGACATCTACGCGATCGTTGATCAACAGTGGGACTCCATAAGCTTTGGTGACCTTGTGCAGGTTTTGAGCCGTTTGGATCAAGTGCCCTGTGTCGCTTGTTTTGTCTCTATACTGCACAATAGTCACACCTGATGTCACACATTAGCACAAGACGTTGGTGTGCGAAACAAGTGTGACATTGACTGACCTCCTTTCAAGGCTTCTTCTACCACAGTGCATAGATCCCGGCCTTTAAGAATGGCTGGGGTCGAATCTGTGACCAGGTATACTGATAGATCTAAAGGCATTTTCTGTTGCCGTTGTCAGCATAAGGCCAGGAGGCAGAAGTTTGCGGCAGATAGAACAGCAAGGGGCGGGAGACGCTTTGAAATTGATATGAGCTCAAATGAGTCCAAAAAACAAAGAGTTATACATGCAGAAGCACACTTACCCAAAACAACTTATGCGAATGATCCAACAATATGGAATCGCTGGTGTAGGCTCTCCCATGGTCTAACTCGGAGCACTCGGGAGTCGGGAAAGAGTCAGAGGAAGCATCAAATGACGTTGGAAGCGTGTGGGGACACCCGGTGAGGTTAAACTCAGCAATTGTTGAGATTGGATTCAGCCATGAGACTTGCTCTTGATAAGTAAGTTTCTGTTATCCTAGAGCTACATTGACACTGAGTATCATCCATAACAACTGGTTACTAATCTCAATGGAACAATCTGTATTCTGTACAATGACCCCTGTAGCGGATACAAATATAGAGGAGTAACATAACCACAGAACAATAGTTTTGCCACAGGGTCATGAACTGGTAGTTAACAAATCTGCAACACTTGCAGAGGCTTAGTATAATTCCTCTTTAGTTTTTTAGTCCACATTGCTTTCATGTACTCTTATCATGATGGAAAGTCCTGTGTTCTGCATGAGGGACAGTAAGACATTAATCATGTGACCACGCATCAGGAGGAACACGTGCCCTCGGAAGACGCATAAGTGGGCAGGCAACAGTGCTGAGTCAGCAAGCAGCCCTGAAATTTTCCTCAGCGAGTCTTGGCACTTCGGCTCCAAGCCTTTCTGTTTGGCCCTCAACTTCTTTCCCCGTTTCGCTTTCTTTCTTCTTCTCACTCACTCTCACACCCACTCTCAACTCATCCATCTGCATCTGCTGCATCATCTAATTCAACCAGCTTCCAACGCTGTCATCTCGTCGAAACTACACGCTTCAGCTGTTAAACGCGTCCGAGTTTTTCAGCTCTCGTTTTGATCGAAAAGCCACTCTGGTTAGTTTCTTGATACGGTCCTTTCGTCAACCGTCCGCCACCACGAGTTCGAGGTCTGACTTTAGTTGCCTCTCACCTCCCAGAAGAACCATCTGTTGGTTTCTTTCCCATATACCGGAGAAAGCCACTCAAAGAAAAGAGTCGGTCGCGAACTTGTCTATGTATTCGTCCTGCGTCAGAGATTTCGAACACCACCTGCCGCTCAAGCTGCAAACGTTTCGCTCCGAGCTGAAACCTTGTAGTATACATTCAAAGTCCTGTGGCTGAACCCCAGGCTTGCTCTATCTGCTGTGTGAAATCGTTTACTTGAGACGATTCTAACTCTCCACCATCCACTACTTTTCAAAAGTCGAGGAATTCGTTACGCATGTCTTGTCTTTCCAAGATATCACTGGTCCATAATCCCTCCCGCTTCGTTTTCAAGCAGCTCGTTCTCACCGTTTCGTGAAAAAAAATTATTCATCCTCAAACAACCGTCAAAATGGCTACCGTCAACATTCGTCGCGATGTCACCGATCCTTTCTACCGTTACAAGATGGAGCGCCTCCAGTCCAAGATTGAAGGCAAGGGTAACGGTATCAAGACTGTGGTCGTCAACCTGAACTCTGTCGCTCAGTCTTTGAGCCGTCCTCCGTCTTATGTGATCAAGTACTTCGGATTTGAACTCGGTGCTCAGGCTAACGCCAAGCCCACCGATGATCGCTGGATTATCAACGGCGCCCACGATGCTGCTAAGCTTCAAGATTACCTCGATGGCTTCATCGCCAAGTTTGTGCTTTGCAAGAAATGTAAGAATCCTGAAACGGATGTCATCATCAAGGACGAGAAGATCATCCTTGACTGCAAGGCCTGTGGTCAGCGCACCGATGTTGAT